AAAGAAGAAATTTGCACTATTTTTAAACAAGTAGCCACGATATCTTTGTTCACATTAATAAAGGAAAAAAAATGGGTTCCTCATAGTTGTTGTGCTTTGAATTTTGTTGTGTATGTTTTTTTATGGGTTTTTTTGTTTGTTTTTTTATGTAAGATCAAATGGCATGACTCTCTGGTTTTACTTTTTAGAAAGGAAAGACTGGAGATGGTTTGTACAAAGTTGTTGAGCTGATAGTATGAATGAAGCAGTTAGTTCTATTAAGAAGGATGTCCCTAACCGGTTTGGCTCAGTGAATAGAGTCTCGGCCTGCGCACTGAAGGGTGCCTGGTTTTCTGGTCAAGGACATGTACCTAGGTTGCAGGTGTCTGGCCCTGGTTGGGGGCATGCAGAAGACAACCAATCAGTATGTTTCTGTCTCTCCCTCCCCCTCCCACACCTTCTAAAAAGCAATGGAAAAAATATCCTCCGGTAAGGAGTAAAAATATATATATATATATATATATATATATATATATATATATATATATATATATGAGAAATATGAGGAACTTGTGAAGCTGGAGGTTTATATCTTGCCTCCTCTTCTCAGTAAAGTTGCAAGTGATGTGATGTGGTAAAAGCAAGGAGGCTTGGGAAGAAAAGCTGTGGTCAGGAGCCAGTTGGGATGAATTAAAACATGAACATCAGTATGGAAAGCCAAGCTATCTGGCAGTCGCATTGATTTTTTTGAGTTTTACTTATCCTTTGAAGGTGATTATAATTAACTTTTTTTAAAACATTAAATTCAAGTTCATTTGATTCTTTGGGGGTTGCATTTTCAGTAAATAAAAATCCATTACACAAAAAATAGTTATTCTTATTCCCCCTCCCACAATTCTATATTTCTGTCCATTTCTCCAACTCCACTATGTGTGTGTGTGTGTGTGTGTGTGTGTGTGTGTGTGTGTTTTGTTGATTTTAGAGAGAGGAAGGAAGAGGGATATAGAAACATGAATGAGAAACATCTATCAGCTGCCTCCTACATGCCCCCTACTGGAGATTGAGCCAGTAACCAAGCATGTGCCCCACCAGCATTCATTCAAGGAACCTCTTGGTTCATGGGTCAGCAATCAACCACTAAGCCATACTAGCCAGGTTCCATACCCACAATTTTTAATTCATCTAGTAATGCTAACCAAGGTATTATTTTATTCTAAAAGAGTGACCCATGGTAAACAGGAAGCTTCTTTTTAAAAAGTTATCCCTTGCCTTTACACAGCACTTAAATTTTACAAGAATAAGTATTACGCCTTGGGAAGCCTTCCTTTAAGGAACTTAAGTTCAGAAACTAAATAAAATACTTAATGTTAGGTCAAAAAGGAAGATTATCTGAATTCATCATTCTGCTTCAGTTGATCTTAGAGAACATGATCAAAGAGAACATGAAGCTCAAACCACTGTGTTGGCTTTGAACACAATAGAAAACTTGTCCTTATTGAAACAATATTCTCAAACCACTTTCTGGGATCTTAGAATGCCCTCTTATCTGCTTTTTTAAGACCATCTATCATATAGTATCTTTGCTATAGGTCAGGCTATTTAAAATAGTGGTTCTCAAACTTTAGTTTTTATCACAATCACCTGGAGGAGTGATTAGACTTCCTGGGTCCTACCTCAAAAGTATCTCATTCAGTGGGTCTGGGATAGACCCAAATACTTACATTTTCAAGTTCCAGGTAATGCTGATGCTGCTGGTCCAGGGACCGTTCTTTTAGAATACTGATCTAGTCAAACTCAAAAAATTTTAATGGCTCTCTAGAATAAGTCAGTAATTGTTTCAAGTCCAATTACTATTATATTGACTCTTTTAGCATGCATTTGAGCTTCTTATGTGCCAAGCGCTGTGCTCACTCTTCACACAGGTGAAGAAGATAAGCAACCTCCCTCCACGAGCACAGTTAACAGTGGTAATATTGTTTAAGCTCACTTAATTGTCACAGGAACTTATGAATCAGGGCATGTAATCCTTATTTTAAATGGGAAAAAAAATACGAGGTCTAGAAAGGTTTAATAATTTCCCAGAATTCACACAGTGAGTAAAGACTTGGGGACCACAGGAGGGATGGAGTAATTAATTCTATCTTAGGAAATCAAAATGCAGCACAGAAAAGATGGCACTGGAGCACCTAAAGCAGGGGTGAGGAATGTATAATGCCTGAGAAATCATTTGGACTGGCCTTGTCAAGGCAATAGGGGTGAGTTAATTAAATGTTTGACTAAGTATAGCAGGCTAACGTTTAAGTTGATAATTTTGTGAGTGGCCCTTGAATGATGTTAAATATCATCCAAATGGCCCTGGGCAGAAAAAAGGTTCTCCACCCCTGAAAGGAACAGGTGAAAGAGAACCAGGTGAATTAGAACTATCAGCATTTCAGTTGAGGAAGGAGTTTCTGCAAAGGCATGGAAACCTGAGAGAATATGTGTTCCACAACCAAAAATAGTTATGTAAGACCATAGCACAATAGGCCAGATGGAGTATGAGAGGAGAGGAGACTAGAAAGAAGGGTTCAAGGTCATGAAGAGTTTTTTACACCAGGCTAAGAAATTTTTTTTAATAGAATTAGGTTTTATTATTCTTTCTCTTAACCACTTTCATCTCTGTAAGCAGTGGTTCTCAAAGTGCATATGATATGGTCTGTCCGGCAGTGGGGTCAGCATCACCTGGACACTTGTTAGAAATGAAAATCCTGAGCCCAATCCAAACCTGTATCAGAAACTAAGCAGTCTGGATTTTAACAAGACCACCAGATGATTCTGCTACTAAAGTTTGAAAACCACTGCAATAGGTTCTAGAATTCACAAATAATAGCCTTCAAAATAGCTAACGGTCACCATAATGATAGTATTTGTATCTGTGACTGATTTAATTCTGTTAAAGTACAATGCTTAACAAAATTGAAATAGTAATACCTTTTAAGTGACACACACATTTTCAGCATGACTTATTTATTTTTAAAAACCTATTCCTCTGTATTTGTTAAAAGAGGGCTGAGCCAGGATTAGAGTTTACTAAATCAGCAAAGAATAGCATGCTAATTATTGTTTCTTAACTAAAGGAATGGTTTAGAAACATACTGATTTTAATTTTAAAAAGAGAACCAGTGAACCCTTTTTAGAGTTTGAGCTTTTTGTTTTTGTTTTGTTGATTTATAAAATTGAAGTTAAAATTAGCATTTCAGGTGTTTTAATTAAAACATGTTGAAAGAATTGAGTGTATTTAAGTTATGATATGGCTAGAACTAATTCAGTTTTCCCTTGACATAGAAATAAGAAATATAGAAAGTATATTCTAAGATTCTCAGGCAAACTTTAAATGCCTATCACTATCTTTTTAACCAAGTTGTGGTCAGTGTAAATATTAATTATCCTATATAATAAAATGCTAATTTGACTGGATGGTGCAACCACCTTCTGGAACGACCAGTGGGCAGAGCCATGGGCCGGGGGGCTGCAAGGCAGCCAGGCTGTAGGGGCTGAGGCAGCCAAGGCTGCGAGGACTCAGCCCCCTGCATGAATTTTGTGCATCGGGCCCCTAGTGTATCAGTAGAGAGATAGATAGATAGATAGATAGATAGATAGATAGATAGATAGATAGATAGCACTTTAGATATACAGAAGCCTTTTTTAATCTTAGAAAAAATAGCATCAAAAGGTGAAGTAGTATGCTGCAATTAATGTGGTTAATGCTCAGATAAACAAGCTTAGTGTTTTCCATGTATTGATTCAGAGTTTTGAGGATTTAGAAGTGGCAAGCCCCTGCCAATTCTATATCCTCACTAGGCTAAGAAATTTTTAAAATAGAATTAGGTTTCATTATTCCTAGTGAGGAATTGACACCAATCCCTTCATTTTACAGATGAGAAAACTGAAGTCCTGGGAAGTTAAATAGTTGATTTGGTAGTAGTCATGTGGGTAGTGAGTAGCAGAACCGGGATTATGACCAGATCTACTTGGATTATAATGTAAAAGGCACTACTACTACATCTGATCCCCAATTTGGTATAACATTGAGGGTCCATATCATCTAAAGTATAGTAGTTAAGATATGTTACCATCTAGATTTTCTTGGGTGGGGTATACTTTATAAAGAGTATTTAGTGAAGTTTTATAGAAAAGTTGTTTAAAGGCCTTTTTTTGTATTGATACAGTGGGCTAAAGTATCATATTTGTCTTTATAAAAAGACCTAATAACTGTCCTTCAAAATTTACAAAAACCCCAAGGAAAGGATATAAATCCTCACTACTCCCAAAGATGACAGTTATTCAGCCTTCATTGTCACTGTCATACAAATGCTGAAATTTGAACTTGGGATGTACTTACCTGCTAGAATACTTCCAATTATTTCCAGGAAAAACTGGTCCAAACCACATACCTTAGTAAGTGATTTTACCAGCTAGTAACCTTTAATCAGAGCTTACAGATCTGCCTGAATGTTGAGTTCTTTGTTAACACTGCAAGTGCTTTTTGCCCTAAAGCCCTCTGAATCATTTTTTATAAGCCAGTTTAAAAATTTTTTAAACCAGATGTTAAAGTATCAAATATATAGAAGAAAAGTCATCATCTGACGCTTAATGCAATAAGTAACTAGTAGAATTTCCAACTGAAAGACAATTTAGGGTATATAGTTGGTAAATGAAGTTTAAGAGGTGTGGAAAAGGTACAATTTATTCAAAATTTCTCTTTTTAAAGTCACTGAATTGAAAATAGAATAAAATTGGGAGTTACTTTTAAAGTAGCATGCCATAGGCAAATTAGAAAAGTCGGAAGTACAAAGGATTTTTAGAAGTCATCTATTTTGAAAATCTCATTTTCAAAATGAGAGCTCTGAGTACTGAAATTGTAAGAATAGACTTAAATAACTATTTTTTGTTTTAAATAAAACACAGATGTTTTTATTTTAAGAGGTGAAAGGGAAATTGCGTTTTTTAGAATAATTAATGAAATATTTAATTTTTTCCAGTGCATCTGGGGCAGGTGGTGTAGCCATTGACAACAAAATAGAACAAGCAATGGTAAGTAGAAGTTTATAATCCTCTCATTTTATGGATTGTTGGTTGTATTGAAGCACTTGGTTTTTATCAATTCTAAAAAACAACCACCTACTATTTAAAACAAGATGACCAAAATACTTTTTTTATAATGAGATTTAGTTTAAGTTGTTCAAACATTGAAAATTTTAGCCTAAAAATACCAATGGAGTTAATATTTTTTCCATATTAGCATCTCACATTTCATGCATTCCCATTGATAAAAGACCATCTTGGGAGATATACTTAATCAAAATGCATTATGTTCCCCCAAATATTTCAGCATCAAAAAGAGTTTAGAGACAAAAGAGCATTAAAATGAAAACTTCAGTTGGAAAGTTTTGTCATCCTTTGGTCATTTACAGGCACTGTTATACTCTCTTAATAAGTTCATTTGTTTCTATTGATTCTAGTTCTGATTTCTATTATTATTAAAACTTTTTGTTGCCCTAAAGATAGTCTGTTTATATTATATAAAATATATAAAACTAAAATAAGGACCATTAGTCCCAAACTTTTTAAAAAACAAGGTTTTAAAGTTGGAAATTATAGATCCCTTATCTCTTAAAGTAGTACTATGTAACCAGTTTAATAAGAGACAGTTTAAAATCCTTTGTTCTCTTAGCCCAACATCTAAGCATTTGGTTTTAAACTTTGTTGTTATTGTTGTTGTTGTTGTTGTTGTTGTTGTTAATTCTAAGCTTATAATTGACAATTTAAGGAGCTAGTATTTTTGAAAATCTCTCCAAACTTTGGAGGAAAAATCCTGGGCTTGCAGCCCTACTTAGAAACTGAGGTGTTTTTTTTTCCTTGGGGCCAGTCATGATATAATAGACACACTAAAAACAAGAGCAGGAATATAAAAACAACTTACATTTATGAGGCACCAAGTAGGCTAAAACCAAATAGCAACACTTTTTCCTTTCTCTCTTTTTGACATTCCTAATTTTTATTTTTACAGGATCTGGTGAAAAGCCATTTGATGTATGCAGTAAGAGAAGAAGTGGAAGTTCTAAAGGAACAAATAAAAGAATTAGTTGAAAGAAACTCTTTACTTGAACGAGAAAATGCACTGTTAAAATCTCTTTCAAACAATGATCAATTATCCCAACTCCCAGCCCAACAGGCCAATCCTGGTAGCACTTCTCAACAGCAAGCAGTGATAGCACAGCCTCCGCAGCCAACGCAACCTCCACAGCAGCCGAATGTCTCCTCAGCATAAAGCTTTCTTGCCTCATTAAGAAAAAAACTGAAAGCAGTCTATCCTGTGTGCCACTGGTGTTCTTTCCACTTTATATGAAAGCAAGTAGCCATGCTTCGGTTGTGTGTTTGGCCTTTTCAGTATTAGACAATCATTCTACAAGAGCTTTTCCTCTCTTTGAGATGTCATGCAGTGCTGTTGATGTCCAGCTTTATGTCATCAATACACAAGGAGGATAATAGATGGGGTTTATTAAAGCAAGCAAAGTCTGCATTTTACCTGGTGCGCATGAGGTCCTTTAAGAGCTTTAGTGGCTCTTCATGTGTCTGTCATCCATGGATTTACCCTGAGCCTTCCTATCATATTATAAATAACAGTTCATCTAAAGAGCCACTTTTCTTTCAGTATCAATAACATTTGCCTACATAAGTTTTCATTTATTTGTGTTTTATTTATTACAGGGCTGCTATTTTCATAATGTACATGAACAATGTCACAGAACTTTTTTAATTTTTGAATAATTATAAGTATCAGTAAAGGAATTGAAAGACAGGATTGCATTTAACGGATTAAACGTTTAGGCAATAATTGAACAAAAGAATCCTGGCATATTTCTAACACTAATGGCAATTTACCTTTGGTATTTATTTTTAGTAGTAAAGACCCAGCTTGAATGTAAATTTTGTATAGTGTAAGTATGAAGAACATAGTGCAACTGTACAGGTAGTAACCAGTTATTGTGATATAATAAATAATTGGGCTATTTTGATGAAGAAAACTTTGTTCATTTGTTTCTACTTTCTAATAGAGAAATTGCCACAATTCCTCTGCTTTTCAACATTTCTTATGACTTTTTTTGGGGTAGAGGGTGGAAATAAAAAGCTGTGAAATTGTTCAACCTACTTTGTAACCAAAGAAGCAAAGCTGTGTAATGGAGTTTGGGGGGGGGGGGTCGTTTGTTTTTTTTATAATGCACATTCTTTATGTATTTTTATTTAGTGTTTTCTTGGTCACAATTTTCTTTGCTGTCTAGCATGATCTGCATGACCTATACTCTTTGAACCACTTTCGTACCTCATGTTTTTATTCAGCACTCTTATTGTAATATGTACTAGTCTGTGAACAATGTCAAATAAAAAGAAAGAACAGGTAGTATGGTGGAGCTTAGCTAGTGTATTATACACTAGTTGTAAAGTACAAAAAGAAGTGAGCCATCTTTTGTTCATTTAAAATGGTGTTTTGAATTTCATATGCAGAAGACGTTTTGTTACATTGCAGATTTTAATGTATTTAATAAATGCAACATGCAGATAAAGTGCAGTGTATACTGAGTATTTAAATTTAAATGTACATTTCATAAATACAGTTTCAAGAGAAAACATCATTTTGTGTATACTAACACATTAAGTGTATGTCAGAAATTGATGTATAAATATATATTTTAACACATTTTCTGAAATTAAACTGCAGTTTTGTTGAAATATTTGGCTCTATATGTGTTGAAAATTTAATTTGATTCAATTTGTATTTTCACAGTTCAAAATATTCCTTAAATGAAAACCTATGTTATTAATGACTTTATGATAGTTTTTAAACTTTCAAAGAAAAATAGTTTAAAGAATGCAAGAATATTGAGCAATATTTGTACTTAATATTCATTATGTCGATGACTTTAAGTAGGAAATCCTTGTCTACCAAAACATTTACTTGAATTCAAAAAGGTGCCTATAAAAATTAACAGGCTCTGTATCTATAGCCAGCTAGCTAATCAGGAGTTAATGTTCTTTATCTATTTAAAAATAAAAACTTAATCAGATTAGCCATAAACTAAATGTATAAAATCAGGTATATGTGGGGTTACCAAATATTTTATATTCTAGTTGTGTTGCAGGATATATTCAGTATAAACAAATTTTGTTAATGGTAACATTAAAAATAAAGGAACTAAGTACACAGGCTTGAAAAAGTAACCTTGAAGATGTGAGTGGAGTCAGGTAAGATAGTGGAACTTCCATGTTGGAATGTTAAAAGGCTCACTAGTTGTGCCCCTCTGTGAACAGTGTGATATTTAATACAGATGGAGGAAAACTAATATTAGAAAGTTAGGAATTTGTGAAAACACAGTTTTTGATTCATGGGATAGAAAAACACTTTATAAACAAAAATAATAATGTTAGTTTAAAATGGTAATTAGAAGCAATTATCACTTTTGCAGTTTAAAAAAATAACAATAAAAATAAAAAAACGGATAGTTCACAGAAGAAATGGCAGTTTCCAGTAACATAAGACATGCATATTAATATTTAGCAAATTGTTAAGATAGCAGGACCCATTGTAGAAAGAAACTTTCCTGTGTACTTCTAGAAAGTAACATGCATCAAGAGTTTTAAATATTAATACACTTTTTGGTTTAATGACAGAAGTTTCTCAACTCGGCTCAATGTTCAAAAATTAGAAAATTATAACAGTCCTCTGCTCTTGTCCCTCTCTCCCCTTTGAATCCAGCCTTCTCCCACATACACAACCGAAAGTAACTGAAAGGAAGCCTTCACATCCAAACCTACTCATAAGGCACGCCTCCACTCCAAAGTCAGGGCCAAACTTAAGGATGGGAAAACTATTGTACTTTTCAACATCAGATATACTGTATTTGGAAATATCAGGTGTTCTCCTGATTAGTTTAAGATCTGAAGTAAATTTCAGTTTTACTTCAGAGGTTTAGGTTCTTCTCCATATAGCTGTTTGGGGGCGTAGTCTTATAGGAGTGCCATTTATAAATAATAGGTAAGGTGCATAGGCCAGGGTGCCATAAAAGTTTTCTATTACTTTAGCCAACCAGAAAATCATAGGTAGAAAATTTTGTTTTTTATATGACAATGTGTAATACAAGCCTAACTTTCCCCAAGGAAAATTAATTTTAGCTAATTACAATGATATTACAGCTTGCTATAGTCCTCCCCGCCTTTAGATATTAAGTATGCAGTTGTTTTAACGAGTATCTCCCAAATAGCTGGATATTTTTCAAAGTTCTAAGCCAAGTAGAAGTATTAAGAATGCTTTATCATCTAGCCCCCAATTATGGATAATCACAGACGCCATCATTCAAGAATTGTCCCAGGTCAGAGATTGTGGTATTTCTCCAACCTCCAAACTATAGTCACTCCTGGACCTTTAAGAAAGGGGTGGGGGAAGATGCCTTAAGATTAGAATAATCAAAATATCTGTTCTTCATAGAAATATATCTGTGGACCCAGAAATAACTAATTTTCTGGAAACAAATTGTCAAGATCTGAAGTCATGTTTTTGTTGTGTGTTTTTTTAATGGCAGTTCTGTAGTTGAATGGCAAGCACTCTGTGATGACTCCATTTTTTTATTATTGATTAAGGTATTACATGTGTACATATCTTCCCATTGCTCCACCCTCACCCCACTCCCATATATGCCCTCCCTCCCCAGTGTTTTGTGTCGATTGGTTGTGCTTATATGCATGCACAAGTTCTTTGGTTGATCTATCTCCCCCAACCCTCCCCAATTTTCCTGCTGTAATTTGACAGTCTGTTTGATGCTTTACTGCCTCTGTATCTTTTTGTTCATCAGTTTATAACGTTCTTTATTATCCATAAATGAGTGAGATCATGTGGTATTTTTTTTTTTCATAGCCTGAACTATTTCACATAGCATAATGCTCTCCATTTCCACTTTCTTAAATAATGCTGAAAGAACAAAACCTGGCCCTCAAAATTCACAGTTTAATCGAGGATATAGGCAAATCATCAGGTACAATGCAATAATAATAAAGATATACACAGTCAAGGATGGCTGTCAGGAAAGTTTTCCTCAAGAGGTGGCACCTGAATGACATTTGAAGATCACAAAAGTAAGAATACTGCTCAAAGTTTTACTGTAGAACATAGAGCCCCCTGATTAGCCACAGATTTGTTTCGCTGGAGGCAGACTGGCAATGACTGCCTTCCCCACCTCAGTAGTTTGGCTTCTAGTCATTCAGAAAGTAAGAATGATTTTAAGAAGTGGGATTGTGATCAGATTTGCATTTTAGAAAAATTATTCACTCCAGTAACAGATGGAAGGTAGATTGGGGCCTGAAACTGGAAGCTGAGAACTAATTGAGGAGACACAAAGATCCAAAAATGATGAGCAAGTGAAATTACATAGGAAATCTCGTGATGCTCATGAAGGAAGTCTGTCTCGGGTCGTTCTGTACCATTTTTTCCTCCTCGATGAACATTCTATTCCCAGCATCAGGTTCCTGTTCTTTATTACTCCAAGCAGAGATCAGAGAACTGTAAATCTTAGAAAGTCTGAGTCAGATGTTTCCTTCTAACAGTCATATATCTCTAGGAAATGAAAATCTTTGTTTCCTATTAAATAAATTTCCAGAATTTAGCAAAAGTGAGGTGGGAGTGAGGACTAGATGAGTCTTGGCTGTCACTTTATGCCTCTGCATAAATTCAGCCATATAGGTAAACCAAATGTAGTACTTTTATGGTGACTGGCTTCAGAGTGGCTCAGAAGCATTAATTCATAGCTTGCCACTCAGAGCTATCCCTTTTCCCCAGAAAGGATAATATGGGCTCTGGCCCCATTGCAGGTACTGGCAGCCAAGTCCGAATCGGTTTTGCTAGGCTCCAACCTTCTTTGCCATAGTTCGATTCAGAAAGCTGCTTTCTTTCCTTCAATTCCCTCACCTATGTGAGACTGGATCTTTTCTCCCACCTCCTCCTACCTCAAGCCTAGTAATCCATGTTTCTATTTTCTAGCAATACTAATAGTTTATTATTTAGTCACATATATTTGAATCCTATTTTCTCCTTTTCAACATTCCAGAATGCACCTGTTTCATATACTGGTATTTCTGTACCAGGTCACAGAATTTCTATAGCAAAATCTGTTTTCTGAATGTATTTATGTATTTCCTTTGTAAGTGGAGAGAGTGCTATTTTACAATTTCCTTAGTGGGCCACAGTTGGTATGACATGCTGTGTCACATATGAAAAAGGCT